CCGCGCCACACCACACCACACCGCACCCCACTGCAGAATTCCAACAGTTTCAGCGAACATTCACTAGCGAAAACTGATTACCGAAATGTACTTCGCCATCGCCACAGCCTCGACGATATGCACATTCTTTGCACACTCACAGAGAAGAGAGTGACTACACCACACTATACACTTGGTTCCGCTTTTCCAGGTACACTTTGAGCTTCCTCTCCACACATCCAGCAACTGCGCCAACAATCTCCCACCGGAAAAGCATCGCGGTACCTGTGAAAACACAATGAGATGTGGAGAAACGATCTGAATAGCGACAAACAAATTAGTAGATTGACCTAGAACACACGTCGACGCATCGTTTGTTGGCAAATACTTACCATCTCGGCTTGGGTTTGTTAAAATCACCATTGCTAAAGTTGTAGGCGATGTATTTCACTTCATTGACAGAGAAGAGGGCACCCAATTACGCTTGCTCTAAATACTGTAGATCTATTTGATACGTTCTATAAAAAAGGATACTATAACAGTTGGAATAAAGCCAATGTTACCATGTAATTGTGAAAAGATATTGGGAAGAAAGGCAATAGAGATGCCTCTCCTAAAACACGCAAACCGAGACAATTAGGACTCACAAAACAATACACTAACACACTGAATGAAGCCAATTCCTACGTGATCGAGGTGCGGAGTAACATCAAGGCCCAATTACCAGCTTATTGTTCTTCAAACATCTCTCGAAGTACACCAGATGTAACACCAGAAACAGATATATTCGCGACCGCTTTACGTTTAAAATGACGGTAAACATAAAAGTAAAGTGAAAAATTTATCAAATTCTCGCTTTTAAATTTACACTTTGTCTGTGTTTAACTGAAACAGTTATACTAATATGATGAACATAAACTCACAGCACCAACGGACAATGTACATAAACAGCAGCCAATAGGCCCGAAGCTTGCAATATAAGCAAACGAAAAAATATGTATTAAATTTGGAAGAAAACATGC